ATTTCTTTCCATGTTGATAGCAGAATAACAGTGTTCATAAACGTGAGGTTATCAGCCTGTAGCTATAAAAGATATCAGTCTGCTTAACTTAATTGGTTACTATTCTTTTCCCCTTCACCTTCTTTCCAAATGGCAACATAATCTATATGGGTGGTAAGTGACAGATCCTGCACGGTTTTGGAGATTTTATTTCTTTCTGTCAATGTGTATGTTCTTACGAGCCTACAGTCCATCCAAAACATGATGATCTTTGCAGAGATATAAACACAGTATTGAGTTTAATTTTATATCAGTTATTGTGTAATGAACATGTGTCTTCATTCCCTTTTTCATTAGGTTGAACCCATAAGGTCTGACATGTTTCCACAGGAGATAGTCAAATGTTTGACATGGATTAAATCTCCAAAAAGCCGTAATCTTTATATTGAAAGCCCAATCAAGTGATTTAAAAATGCTCACCTGTATGTTAGCAGTCCTAATGTTACAGCCCAACCTAATCATGTGAGTGAAAGAAGTGAAAAACAGTTAAAGTCTACACCTTCAGGCTTGGGAGTAGAAGATAAAGGTATCCACTTTGACCATGTTAGCTAAAAAGTTAACAACAGAACATTCCTCAATATTCAATTGTACTTTCACATATTCAAATCCAAACTGCCTGCATGCCTTATTTCAGTTTCACAATTATTTAGGGTAGCTGTGGCCACTGCTTGCTGAATACCCCCTTCTATTTTTATGTTAACTGACATATAATTTAAAGCAAAAACCTACAATTGATTTCATCTTTTTGGGCTGAGTCAATCAAGTAGACACACTGTAGATGGACAGGTAGACCCATCTAGCCTAGAAATATTAAGGCTGTAAAGCATTAATTCAATAAGAACATATACTGTTATTATTACAATACATCTATAGAATAAAAGAAACCACTGTAAACACTGTATTAAGGCCAATATAGTGTCTGCAGTCTGGGTCTGAACATTATGCCAGAATATCAAAAACACTAATGGCCTAAGAATGCAAAAGTTTACACAGGAAATAATAATTAATTAATTCTGAATCGATTCTGTTGATTTTGTCAACATACATAACCAATTTGTGCATTTATTTCCACTTACCTTTTTTTGTCTAGTTTTCCCTGCGTAAGATCAGCTTTTCCATTTAACAAAAGCAATGGCCCGTGCTTCAGGAGGCAGACGAAATCGCACGATAAGAATGTGACGAGATGAAAATGTCTGGAAAGCCAAGGGGCGTTTCCAGTCACCACAGGTTCTGTTTGACCTCTCTACTCATGTGGCTTTGTCCTCTTTTCATTTTGGAATAAAACATGAACGCAAGCAAAATACAAAACCGCAACCGCTAATATGAATCACTCCAACTGGGCACTCCAACGGTTGTCCTCCAAACTCTACTGCAGACTAAACAAATAGAGCTTCAGGGTACATCCTGATTTTTATTTACCCACTGTGGGAGCTGTATAAAACTGCAATTGTAGTCCGAACAAAACAAGGTTTACTTAATCAAATGTGTGAGCAATATTAAATAGATATACTTCTTTTAGACGTCAATGTCTTGAAGTGTTCATCAGATGTGATGTGATGTGATGTGATGCTCCATTTTCTTCCTCTTAACTCTACCCACACTTAAGGCAATCACACAGTATGGCTTAGGGTGACAGACTTACAATGTATCATTTAATGGGGTTAAAAATAAACATTAATGAGTATAAATATCAGTTGTAATTACATAATTTGAACATATTAACAAATTATTTATTTTTACTAAGTGCTATAGATTTCAGTTTGTAATAGCTACTGGAACACATTTCTAATGTTGAAAATACATGAAAATGACATGCACAAACACCAACAACATAGCTCGAGTAAGCTCTGTGCATGGCCTCTAGTTTGGTTTCAGCTACCAGAAAAAAATGAAGCGATTACGGTGGATTATATTTGCCATGCTTATGCCATTCAAATCAGGAATAAGGACCCCCAAGCTCACGATGCACAGCCTCTCTAAAATCTCCTCTTAGCATCCCGGATTCCCAGAGGTTTTGGCCCCTGTCTGCGTGCATTATGAATTCTGGTCTCTTGATGGCTTTGCTGTGTTTGAACACTTTTATACTCCAGAGCCAAGGGCTGTGAGGCAGAAGCTGACATTTCTACTGTGTTTCAAAACCAGTTGCTAAAATTACAAATTTTGCTATGTGAGGATTTGCTAAAAACAAACACATTTACTTTATGTAATGAATCTATTTTTAAGCAGTGTTCAACCATCAATCTCACACAGTAAAAATCCGTTATTTGTTGTGTGCTTGCAAAGGCATTATAGTAAACATAGCTTTCGTGGTGTGAGGTGTGAAAACGGTGGGATATGCCGACAGATGTTCCTCCTCCAAGTGATCACAGAACCGTGTGTTTTTGTCTGACGTAACTGCCATTTTCTGCTCCATATTAGTGCCATGGAATGCTGCTAATGCTCCTTATCTCCGACTTTTAACTGCATGGAAAATATCTCACTGTAACTGGTTACATTTTCATCTGTATGTCAGACACCAACCACCTTCTTGACCCCAAGTCTGTGGGTTTTTGCACTAACTTGTCACTCAATGCAACAATATACACAAGTTCCTCTTCCTACAGTGTTTCTTGATGTTACATTGTTATGTATGTTATTTATTGCACTGGTGTATGATGAGTGAAAATGAGAGAATTTTGTTTTGTGGTCCAGCTGAGAACATTTTTACTCAAAATGTGTATTTTTAGAAATTGTATGATGATAATCTGAATGGAATTAACACTGCATAAAGTGATATCAACCACTGTGCACTGCAGAGCTTTGAAGGGATTCATTTTTTTATGCCAAGTCAGTCACAATGTCACACCCATGTACTAGGCTCTTTCAAAATCACTCTGAAAATGTAATTAAAAGATGGCTTTAAGAGAGCCATCTGTAACCCTCCTACACATATATGCTTAGTCTGAAATAAACAGGAACCCCATGGACTCAGATAGCATGTGAGGTTATGTTTTCAATGCTTGGAGTTAAAGTTGTGGTTATTTAAGAGACCATACCAGAATGTTTTCTTTTCCACATTTCAGCCCTTCTACTCCAAATATGTCACAGCCATTAGCAGCTTTTAGTGTCCGAAAACCTTTTTTTAATGCTGAAACCTCTGTGTATGCTGCTTTCCTTCTGAGCCTGTTCACCAGACACCAGGCTTGTTCAGCAGCTGACTCCCATGTCTATGATGTCAGAGCTTCCCACCAGTGCACGACTCTGCCACACTACTATTCAAGTATTCAAAGCAATCTGTGCTTTCAGCTGCGTCCTCGCGCAGTATTTTTTTGTTCCCTGGATTTGGTAATCTCTAGTCAATTTCAAGTTTCTGAAAATGGATGTTTACACCAAATGAAGGAAAATTGTGAAAATAAAGTACACATATTTTGCAGTAAATGTGCTGAAACATGCAACACAGATATTTAGCTTTTCTCGTATTTGACTTCTGTGTTCTGCTTTTTGTCCTGCTCTCTTCTCATCTCAAAGATGATGAACCAGTTGGACCAACGTAAGTAAATATTCCTATTTCTACACGTATAATTCATACAGAAATACTGGGATTTGAATGGCTGAATCACCCGTAGGTCACTAAATCATAACTCCTTTTTTTTTTTCTAGGAAAACAAATTCAACAAACAACCACAAGGACAAAAACACTCGCCAGAGGAATACAAAATAAGCAATTTACTCAAGTAAGACACTGTTGTAGGGGATGTGGGCTAAATATAGAACTCACTGTGAGGATTATCCGTGGTCACGCCTTCTCTTGATTTTCTCTTCACAGACAAAATGGCTAAACTGCATTTTTGACAACATGAAGGTATCAGAGGTGGATAGAGCTCCGGGCAGTTTCGAAAAAAAGCATATCTTGTCTCATTTTATGAGAAACAATATCAGCATAACACTGGCAACAAAAAGAACATAATGGCTGTCTTAAGCATGCCTTATTCAGTCTTGCGTGGAGAGTTCAGGATGACGAATAATGACTAAAACCACCACAAAGGTGTACACATTTTTAATGTGCTGTTGATGTCTCCTTTATTCATTTTATCATATCCTCAACAGAGGTGATCCCTTTTGTATTACATATCATGTACAATGCATGCAAGATAATTACGCAATAGGATACTCAGAATAGACATTTTCTGTTGTTATCCCCGTGTGGCTTTTTTTGCATCTGAAATGACCTATGTTTTTTTATGGATTCATCCTTATGATATAAGTATATATATATATATATATATATATATATATAAATATATATATATATATATATAAATATATATATATATATATATTGGTTTTATTCTTGAGAATTTGTACAGCATATCATGGTCAGTTAACTATGTTTGATTTTGTGATGAGTCCACTTTATTGTGAAGCAAGGGCTTCAATGGCAGTATTTAAATTGAATTGAGAGTGATTACAGAAAATGACTTATGTGTGTTTAACTATCTAAACAAAAATGATAAGTGTATTATTATTTTTTTCTTTCCAGAGTAACTTAGGTGTCTTGTATATGTTGAAGTATGAGTGTTCAAATGATAGGAAATCTTTAAAAAGTATTTTTTTTATATTTCCCAATTTCATTAATTGTTTTTTTTTTCTTTTTTCCTCTAACTGTATAGCATGGCTATAATCCTATGCAATATGTATTCTTAAATAGATATATGGAGGGCAGTTTGTTTTACTCAGTGAAGCTTTAATATTGTGGGATCACTTGGAAGCTGGCATAGCAAAATTCACTGCTGTAGCTGCATGACTCCTCTTTCAATACGATGTATCCATGTGTGTTGCGGTGGAAATGGACCTGCATTAAGGTGGGAAAAGAGGGACCAGAGTATATAGCCACGATCAAACTTATGAGTGAGACCAATATTTTTTTTTTCTGAATAAAAAATGTAAAATTGAATCCAGATTTGTATTGCTTTGCAAGTTCTTCCTTTAATCACCTACATTCCAAACCATCATCTTCAGGCCACATATACACAATAACAACCAAAGTGTAACATTTTAAACAAGCAAGAAACATTCCAACGCCAAGAGGCACCGCCTACACGAACTATACCAAAATCACCCTGTATTGACCTTTCTGCCTTCAGCGTTTGTTGAGATTCGTCACTCTTGAAGCAGTTTCCTCAGCTCCCCTTCCACTTTCTCCACGAATGCAGGAAAGCTGGGATCCAGCAGACACATACGCAGGACGGGCCCCAAGTCACCTTGTGCCAAAGAGCCGTGGCGATATACTTGAGGTAGAGTCACAGCAGTCTCTCCCAACATGTGCTGTGGAGGGTCCAACAAATACTTAAAAAGTAAATTAACTGAACACCCTGCATCTTATGAAGTAAAAAAAACACATTAATGCACATTAGTTAAAGTTACACAAAATTGCAAATAATATGTTGCACAGAGGATGTTCAATGTTGCTACAGTCACTACCTGGGTAAGACGCTTGATGGACAATGATCCTTGGACAGCCTCGGGATCAACTTCCACAGCCTTTCCCTGACAAGTCTGCTGACACACAAGAAGAAGAAAAGTATTTGACCGACCCAGCATGACTCCACAGGGTCAAGAGGCCAATCAATGGCTTCATTACTAATTGAAACACAACCACCCCTCAAAGTCCTTTCATGTGCTCTGTGAACTCCTTCGGTGGGTCTGTTCACTAAAGGTCACATTCAAACCCACGGCAGAGTCCGTCCCTCTGTCCTTCATGTTAGATGCAGTAAGCCAGCTGGCTGGGTCTAAGTTCTGCTCTGTATCCAGACACGAATTAAACGTATGCTTTGAGTGTTTTCAAGTTTAAGAAGTAAACAAAAGGCTGCTACTGAAATGAAGGAGACTAGTATGATACAGCACCAACAATCTCACCCCTATAGTGTAAACTTCAACTGGTTAAATACTGGCATGTTATATTGTTGTTTGTTATTAGCTTTGAGTCAAAAGTGTTTGTCTTGATAATCAACAATTTGACTGTTAAAGGCAATAAGAACCAATTTCTTCGGTGTTTAAAGGAGGTTAATTAATTATATTAGTATGCTACATTCCTGTCTGTGCGTGTGTGTTTAGGGTGGGGCACGCTGTATTCGACACCATAGATTGTATTGTGATTGGCTACTGATTCATGTACAAGGTATTCTCTATCTCAGCCGACCTACTGTAGCTGTAATGTCACCTCTAAGGATGAGTCAGTGTTGTATATAGCGCCATCTAGTGAGGATAACATGGCCACCGCTGCTGAAGCTGACCACAGCACTGAAGCACAATACTGTTGATTAAGCAATCAGTACGGACTATAAAACTGTAATTATGGCACTTAAAATTATGCTGAGATACTTTTTTAATTCACAAAATACTGTACGATAAATGGTGACGTATGAGATCAGTGATACTGTACAGCCATGAACCAGACTCAAGTCACCACCTATGTCATTTCAGGCCAGGTTTCATTTTAAACATACAAACAGATTATCTGTGTGTAAATGCTGGTTACAATATAGACATTTTATTTACTAAATTGTAAAGTGGGAAACCTGTATCACTGGTGCAGAGGCCTCAGCGGGGGACTGAATGGGGGGCAATGGGGTGTCATCCAGAGTGGTGACAGACGTGTACTCCATCAGTTTTTCCACAGCACTTGAACACTCCTTAATTGCCTCGGCCCTGCTACTTCCATCAAACTGCATCCTCATCATGCGGCTCTCTCCCTGCAAAATGACACAATCTGTGTTTGTCAATCTGAGTTGTGCCAATGGAGACATCCAAATGCAATGTTCACGCAATGCCGTTCACCACAGTACCTGAATAAACAGTATTAAAAATATATATCAAATCCAGATCTAGACTACTAGTCGTTGTTTTTATTTCGTTATAGTGTAATAAATGTAATGATCTTGAGCGGGAATTAAGGTACTAGGACATAACTGGAGAAAATACTACCAAATGTGGGATTGAAATGCATCTCAAGACTCACCATCACAGTATATCGAAACATCAGGTTATCAGATTTCTGGTGTACTTTGAGAAAATCGGATCCACAGAGCAAAGGGATTGTATCCTGAGGAAAGACAAGAGAACAAACGTTTTCAGCAGCCAGGACAGGAAATAAAATATTTTTGGGGTATTGTTAGGATTGTATAATTGTCTTCTTTTGTACTGCTCCATGTAAAAGCAACTCCATGTTGCCACTCATTCTAAAATGGTTACCGAAAACTGTCTGCAGGGGTCTCTATTTGCTTAATAACCTGCGAGCCTCAGCTTTGAGGCTTACGGAAGCTTTTTCACGCAGGGAATCAAACAAGCACATTAAACAACAATAGCTTAATAGTGTGATCAGCATATTTTGTTAAATGTGCTTTTTTTTAAGACTTTGAAAATAACAATGTAGGTATATCAAGAGGATATTCCTCTGAATAATGGCACTGCACCATGCAGGAAGTCATTCCACATCCAGTCTTAATAACACACATTTTTGAAACTGATAGCATTATTATGATTAATAATTAAGTAATAGTAAGCTCACCCAAGTTTCAATGCAAAAAAGATATATTTCTGGAAATGTAATTATGGAAATAAACAAGTAAGTATATAATTAAGACAGACTTATGATTTTTGTTTGGATAAGCTTGTTTTCTGTGGGATAATCAAATGCTTTATTACATACCAATTAGGAAAACACATTATTGGATTTGAATTTTCATTATAATGCAAATGTCGGTGACCAACTGTACAGTTTGCAATTAAGTAAAGGAATAATCTGAATAAATGTGTGTAGAAGTCTATCAAATGTAGATGTGTCCAGACAAGGTAGGAGGGGTCACTAAATGGTTTGAGGAATATGAAAATGATGTGAATCATATTTCTTGGCCTTCAGCTCCCAACCCAGTTGGAGACATTTGGGTATTTGGACCAGTGCTCTCGACCATCATCAGCGAAACACCAAATGAGGGGATATCTATTGAAGCCTATAGGCCGAAGCTCTCCCTATTGGACGTTCCTGAGCATTCACTGCACCAACCTAACAGACCGGTCCATCATCCTCGGCGAAAGCTCTCTGCAGTCTGACCTGAATATGTGGCTCGACACCCTGGCGCAGCAAGATAGTTGTGTCACCTGCCAGAACTCCATTAATGAGACATTGAGTAGTCTGTCACATTTATGTCGTCTGTCGGGCAGGAAGTTCACTATTTTATGTCTAAAGGCCACAATAATTAGTATGTTATCTTGTCCTACTTTTACAATGTTACCGGCTTACTTCTGCAGTGTAGCACACCTATAGATAAGAGTTACCTGCTTAAGCCTATTATTTGTGGTTGTGACTTTGGTGATTTATTTCTTCACCTGATTGTCCACAACTGGTATTTGTGGAATTAAGATGTACATGTCACTCTGCTGTGCCCAGGTTGGCAACAAACCAATGTTCAAAAAGGGCAACAAATTTCATATAAAATAGAAATAGAATCGAGGCAGGTAAACTCTATCTACCACATATAATATTTTAAAATCTGAACAAAAAGCTGAAGTGCGTTTTAGCTTTCTGTGAGCCTAAACATGAACATTTTTCAAATAATATTACTGATTTTGAACCTGTAACCCAAAAAGTTCTGAGGGACATTTGGCGTGACCCAACCAAAACAATGTGATCAAATGCCATCAGATTTGACCGGAAATGTCATGCTCTTCAGCAGAATACTTCATCAGGCCTTCAATCGAAGCCTTTTATCCGGAAAGCAGATTTCTCTTTCAGAGATTTACATCCCAGAAAATCTGCCGAGAGAATGGAGCACTTTTTCTTTCGTCGTTTTGTGAAAGGTGTAATTGAAAAATACTTTTGCTGTCTTTACATTAACATGCAGATTGTTCATTTCTTTGTATTCACAGAGAAGCCGTAGTAAAAACACAGCATACAAATGAACACAGAAGCTAAAATGTCTCTTTGAAGAGAGTGGCAGAGCAGTCAAGTCCCATCCAGGACTGTCAAATTTGGAGCAGCATTGCTAATATTTAATATAATCCATATTCAATGTTACCTCCATATGGGGGAGGGCAACCAGTAATACAACTGTGACATACTTCAGATTGCTAGTGTCGGAGCATGACAATCACACCTGCAGCCTTAAAGGATTTCAAGCACTTTCCCAAAAGTAACAATTTATTTTTTTGAATTGCAGAGCTTCAAGTAAAGGTACAGCACAACACCTATGCAACGCAGTGACACCTGCTTCAGTCCAGAGTGGAATTGTTATGGTCATTATGAGCTAGAACTCTGTAAGTGAACATCCAAAATGAATTGATGTTCACCACAGTTTCGTCTGTTTCCTGTTGTATTTTGTAGGTTCGCTCCTCATGTTCTGTTTTACTTCTTTCCTTGTGCGTTTTCCCGCCTTTGTGATTGTCTGGCCCCGCCCTGATTGGCTCCACCTGTGTCTAATCACTCCGCTCTCCTTGTGGATTTAGTCTGTGTGTAAGTTCGTCGTGTCTCCTGGTGAGGAGTTAGCTTTCAGATGTTTTGGTGTTCCTGGTTTGTATTTGCCTCTGTTGCCTGCCTGTTTTTGGACTGCATCAGTAAGTTTATTATGTGTCATTAAATCACTGCACACCACTTGCTGCCTCATGATCAGTATTTGGGTCCAAATCTGCTATTTCCGAATTGTGACTGTACACAAATTTAAAAAGTATGATTTCTCTGTATACACAAGACTACAGTAAGTCTACTTTAATTTTGTCAACATTTGAATAACCTATGTTCATATTTTAAACCACAATCATGTTGATCTAATGTAGTTAAATTGTATCTATTATTAATCATTCCGAATATATGTTATCATATTTAAACCCAAAATGGAGGTCTTTTTGTATAGGAATCACAATGAATGCGTAACATCCATTTGAAAGATAATATGGTTCTACAGTGGCATGATGGCACTGGAATCATGTATGAAGTGAATCAAATGTATGTTTTTAAATCGCATCTAAAGTTTCTGAAAGCTGTAAAGAAAGAAGTTAGTTAGAATAGGCCTTCTAACCTGACGGATCACATTTATAAGGCTGGATCTGGAAAATAAGGCTTAGTCTCCAGGTGTTGTGTGCATATCATAAAGTGAAATTTTAAATCTAGACATCTGATCTTCTTACCAAGCTGTCCTGTCCTTGCAATACCAGCAAGTATCCAGATTCCACAACTGTGAGGAACATTTGCTTGTTGCCATTTGCCTCAAATATCTGGTGAAAAGAAAAGAGAATATTAGCTGGTGCAAAGTTGAAGTGAGTAATTACTTTTCCTGATCAGCTCATGATGGGTCTATCTGTTCATGTTGGAGGGTTTTTGGTTAAAACCAACATGTGCATGAGTTAGTTATTGTTTAAGACAAAACCACAATCCTTAAAGCTAGACCTTCAAAATGTGTTACAGGACACAACAGCGTCACTAAATCTCTGCATTCCCAGCTCACAGCTGAAAACACTACTCGGATAAATGACAAGTAAAAGATGAATAACAGGTAAGGGAAAATATTGCGCACTTTGCCTGACACAAGGTATCTCACTTAAGTGTTAAAACAGGCATTAGACATTAGACATGTCACAGCAGGGAAAATCACAGGTGTAAATAATAAATACAGAACCAATATAAATGTTTGTAACTCCTGTGCTTTTTCTACTTTGACAAGTCAAAATGCTGCCACAGATGCTGTCTCTTTCACATTGTTTTGATTAAATTACCGTTTTATTTTCAATCTATTTCTGGAGTTCTGTTTTTGTGTCTTGAAGTATGTGTGTGAGGTTTCTGTTTTTGTATCAACCACCATGCGAGTACCGAAACAGGGCTGGGAATTACTGCTTCAAACAAAGCTCTTATCAGGTAACATGATGTCTCTCTAATGTAAAGTGAAACGGTTCTAAATTATTATTCATTTAGCTTCTGTAGCTGCTTTTCTCATTTTAATACATCTAAATGAATTACTTAAGTTTTCTGACTGTTCTGGCAAAATACGCATTTTCGGTATCTTTAAAGACTGCTTTCTCTGAATGACTTTTTGCATTCGGAATTCTCCACTTCAGTAATACTTAACCAGCATACACATGTCATATCATTCATAGCCTGATTTCTGCAATATTGTATCCCTAAAGACATGGCGGTTATGTATGTATTTATTATGTATTTTCTGATGTATGGAGTGATAAGAGATCCAAAGATCCCTCTGCAAAAACCCTTGACTCATACATGTCAACAAATTCAAAGTCCCTTATTTTTATATTGAAACATTATTTTTTTGATAAAACTTGTAAAACGCAAGAATAACAGCCTTGATATAGCCCTTCAACTGGGGAGGGTTAAAGACTATGCAACAAGACGCTAACGTTAGCTCAGTAGGAAAACTAGCTTTAGCTCATGGTAGCTAGCTAGTGTGAGAAGGTCCAGTAACTTTAACGTTAAATGTATTTACCTTCCAAGGCTTTCCTCCTGCAGAGCCTCGACGGAAACGCGCATAGCGTTTTAACCTCCATGCCTGACTAGTGGCCATTTCCGGTAACGTTGGAGACGTTTTTGGTCGATATGTTTTCTAGCTAACCAACAGTGTGCTACAAATAGTGTAAGTGGGCGAGTCTGATCGCGTGTTAACGTGCAGCGCGACCACACGCGCCTGTTTTACCCAAAAAAACAACAAAACACTTCTGTATCGTTAGATGAATAGACAGACTGCAACAAAGACCCATTTGAATTTGATAAGCAAATCTATAGATATTTACAGAGTATCTATACAAATACTGTTGGCTAAGTTGGGGCCCGGTTGGTATTGTGCAATACAAAAAAAAAGAAATGCTGGAATACATATTGTAAGGATAATAGTTTGTTTTACAGAAGGCTAGTTTTATGGGTAAAATAAAGCATATCCAGCCTCTTGAAAATGTGACTGTGCAAGCTTATTGTACTACACTAACTATATTATATATTGTAATGTATACAGTATAATATCTAATAGTGGTAAGGAAATTTGGTATTGAAGGAACAGTTTTGAAACGTCACTAACTGTGTAACGAAAGTAAATGACCACTTGCTTTTTGAGCTTTTGACAGCATCACCCTTCCCTCTTGGGCAAATACAGCTGGCTCATGTCCCAGCATGGGACCTAATACATTTGGAAGACATGATAACAGGTGGTTGATGGTGGAGAGATGGTAACCCCTGGAGGGTTGTGTTCTTTTTCAGCTATTAATAAATATGCCTGCTGTGACTTAGTCATACTGTGTTGGTATAGCCCCAGTTTGTGCCACTTTTAGTTTCTCGTTAATTTGATATTTTTCATATTAAAAGTTGATGTTTTTCTTGCTTTGTACAAAATAAGTAATCAGCTGCCATCTTTGTTTGATTTCAGTAGCTTGGAAACAATTTATTGTTCCCATATAGATAGTGAAGTTTTGAGAGTCTTCAAACTGTGGTTAAGTTTTGTGAAATTTGACTTTTTTTCAAAGTTCAGTTTGAATTTAGAACCACAGACGTGTTTCTTTGTGACTCTGTAGTCATCAATGAAAAGTCTTATGTGAGAATATATGAGAAGCACAAAACTGTAAACATAACGTGAACAAACAATCATGATACAGATCCCTTAGATTTGTATTTTCATTGTGACCAAGATACTGAGTGGCACATTTTACAGTTAAAAGAATTTGACTTGTCTGTGCTCTCTGGTGGACAAACTAAGGTGACACTGTTTCCAAAATTACCTCAGACCTATAGTTTGCATTTCAGTCTTGCATTATCTTGTTACTTATCATCCAACTTATATATATTTCTTATCTTTTCAATATTATTGCTTTTTATTTGTTTTTTTATTTTACTTTTGAGTCTTTTATTTTGAATAATTGTCTAATTTTATTTCATGACCGTCCTGAAAGTTCTGTTCCAGGTTTAGCTAAAGCATAGCAAAAATGCTGTATAGATAGTGTATTGTTATTATATACTGCACCTGCGATACGCTATAATCGGCAGATGTATCGGCCTGGCTGATTTGTTGGTCCAGCTATGTCTGCCATGTCTCTCAATGCAGTTTGCATTGAGCTAGACATGGAAGTTTGCAAGCCAACATCCATTATTTTGATCTCCCCTCCCTCTTTTATTCCTCCCAGGTTGGGATGCTAACTTGACTAACAAGAGAGGCACAGCACAGGTAAGACATAAGACTGACGTATGTAAGAAAAGGAATGATGGCTCTGAAAGAAGTTCACAACAAACTGAATAAATGAAACGTGCTAACTACTTTTTGTTTTGTTTTGCAACTCTACAGTAGTTATTTGTTTACGACTCTATTTCCTTGAAATTGCACCTAGCCAAGAAGTGGTTTCATTAATACAACTCTGGGAAGGGGCTGCTTAGAATATGTGTACTGAAATCAAACAACTGAGGACTCTCACTGGGAGCAATGTATTTGTGACTATGATGCCATTCATTCACTTTTTTGAATGGGGGGATGACAGAGTGCATTGTGAATGAATGAAATATACCCATGCTATCTGTCACTGACAATGAATGTGCCTCCTTTTTCATATGTGTTAAATGTTTAATTATTTGTGGGGGAATATTGGGGATGTTAATGGCCATTACAAATCATAATACATAGGTAATATATAGGTCACATGTCAAATTACATTATTCTGTTCTAAAAAAAATCTTTATTGCTTTTTGTTTGTCATCAGCCTAGATGGAAGGAAATATTGTAAATGTATTGATCATAAAATTATGATTTAAAAAAAACATAAAATGTTTAACCTTGTTGTGGCAAGATATGCAAGATTGATGTGTTGTGAATTATAAATAGTTAATTGGACACATAAAATCACATTATGTCTACATATTTTGTATACAGCAGCCCACTTATTTACATGTATTGGCATTTGAGAGGTCACTCGCAGGTCTATTTGATAAAACACCCAGACAATTTCTTTCCAGCTTCCACTATATTTGTGTGCGCAAATTACGCAGCGGGTCCGACAGATGATATGGCTATTTGTATTTTTGTGAAGCCCACAGCAGGGCTGAACAATCGGTTTGCATTGCCTATACCTGTAACCTTAACTTAAGAGAACAGGACAGCGTTTTAAGAATGGGAAGAGCATTCCCCTTTAAACAAGGTGGGCTGAGCTTATTTGCAGTTCTCGCTCCTATGGCAACCCAATAGATCAGCATCATGAATATTCACAATTCGCCAAAACGCACCCTGACTATGGATCAGTGATGTCAGCGGTCCCTGGAATGCTCTACTGTATTTTCCGTGATTGTGTCGCGTTGTTTTGATGGCAGCTGGCAAGACATCTGGTGAAAAGAGCATCCTTCGTCGTGCATGACCTTTCCCTCGTCTCCGTATCACCGTCCGTCGGCACGTCCCTCACATGTCACGCTAAGGTGACTTTCAAGCAGTTTTTTCCACTTTTGCGCACAATGTCGGAACGGCACAAAGATGTACATCAGGGACGCAGTGGCCAAGCGGACCGCCCAGGCTGTGCGTGAGGACATATGCAAACTGTCAGGTAGTCTAACTATGTGAAAGAGTATCTTTCATCTGTTTCAGTAGAGCTACGGCGGTCCATGTCATGTGTAGCAGGCTTTCAGGGATTCAGATTAGCTCCAGACTGATCGCTCTCACCAACAGATAGGGAGCGCGGAGCTGGTGGAAATAATCGTTACTATACAGCCTAACAATCTGGATTTATTTAATTTCCTCACCAAGTGTCAATGTCATAATGGACAGGTTACACTCCTCCATGCGTAAAAGGCTCTACAGTTTGCCACAGCATATTGGACAGAAAGCATCTATAATGGGCGAAGGAGAAGACGCAGACAAGGACACCCGGAGGAAGAGTCTTAGGATGAAGCCTCTACCGTCACCGTTGCCGACCTCTGGGGGAAGCTGCAAAGGCATCGGGGAGACCAAAAGTGGGGAGTCTGTGATCATGGAGACGGACATAGGGAGACCGATGAAGACCAGCTCAAACGGGGATTGTCGGAGATTTCGAGGCAGCCTCTCGTCCATCACAAGTCGCCATGTGCACGACTCTGACTCGGCGGAGGAGAGGCGCCTCATCACCGAGGGGGATGTCACCCCGAGCGAAGAGAGCCCCCCCGGAGCCATCGGTGATGGGCCGCCTGATCAAGGCACGCAAGGGGCCAGCGGTGGCGGGGGTACCCTAAAAGACTCCACAGACCAGCAGTCAGGGTTTATAAAGTTGGATGGCATTGATCAAATTCTGCCGGACGACGAGAGATTATATCAAGCTGGGTTCATACACAGACAGCTTGGAGCAATGCTTCAACCAGGGGTCAACAAGTTCTCCCTGAGAATGTTTGGAAGTGAGAAGGCGGTTGAACGGGAACAAGAGCGGGTTAAATCCGCCGGATTTTGGATAATTCACCCGTACAGTGATTTCAGGTAAATGTATGGCTCATGCTCTCCGAACAACAAAAGGTTTTAGAATCAAGCATCACGTGAGCGTCGCTGCCTTTTACAGGTCCAGATGTTTTTATAACGATATTCATCAGCTTAAGAGCAGCCCATTCCTTGTTTTATTCAGCTTCATTCTACTCATTCACTTTAAACGATGACAAAGTTATCAATTTACTTTACTGCTTTATGAAAACACTCACGGGTTACGAATTAGTTAAATCATTCATTTTTTTAATTGCCAAAACACAGTATATTAATTCTATTTTTTTGTTTCAGGATATGGACATATTACTATAGAGGCCTGTACTGTGTTGTGCTATGGAACAACACACAGATAACACAACCTTTGCTAATTAGGACAATTCTCCTATCTTGGTATAATATTATCCAAAGGTGCGTAAATGAAGCCTTTTACTGGTTTCTTCTTTATTTGAGAAAACTTGTGGTAAGGGGAGTTTGATTAGGGTTAGTAATGAGGCCTTCACTTCACATAGTCTTTACAGGCTTACTTATTGATTTTATTTTTCTTCTTTTATATAAATGGTCTTTCAAAAAATACCAGGGTTAAGTCATTTTATTTGGCTTAATTGTTAAAGTTCTAGAGCAATTTTGAAATGATCGATGCATTTTATGTCCGCATTTAATAGTGTTGTCAAGTGACAGACTGCAGCTGCAAAATGGAATAGAGAGAGAGAGTCCATGCACTCTTTTGTTGGCCTACAGATTTGCTCTTTTGTCAGTGCCCTTGAATTTGTTATTGGCCATATACATCTGATTCACAGCCACATGGAGGCTCTTAGCTGCAAGACTAGATAAGGTCCTTCATCCTTGCTTTTAGGATTTTAGAATGGTTGTCATACAATGCTTTTCATTCAAGTGCATGTGCATATGGACTTTTTTTGCATCTCAGGTGACAATTAAGTCCCAGTGTGCTGCTTGTACAAACTTACTTATTGCCAGAACAGCGCTGTGGCTTGGACTACATACTGTACACACTATAGTCCACATACTTGTGTGTTATGATCTTACTATTATGAGATGCATCGTATAATAGTATGGTTTTGATTGGAGAGTGCTCATTTCATTTGCTTCCTTCAACCTATCTAATTGAATATAATTATTTGGGGAAAATACATCTATTTTGACTACCTCATAGCCTGTATTGTAACTAGGTAACGAAACTTAACTTTTTTTTAATTTAATACATTTTCTTCTGATTTATTAATTCAGGTAAATGGTTTCATTAAAAGCTTTAGCATTTACATGTAGTTCATTATTAGTAATTGTAGTACACGTTATTCTTCCTTGGCTGTGTCATTGAATGTTGTCCAGCCTGCCTGGTGTTTGATTGGCTATGATGGTTTAATGGCATGTGATATAGAAACTCACTTACCACAAAAGTGTGTTTTTCTACCTCAAGAACAAGATGTCTGACTTTGAGAGACATGAGAGTTGAAGTGCGATTTGCTTATAGGCCTGAGGTGTCAGTGGAAAAGGCTTGGACTCTTTCTAGAATAGAAAACAGGCACATTTGCCTGTTTAAGGGACAAATACACTGTGGTGTGTGTGTGTGTGTGTGTATATATATATATATATATATATATATATATATATATATATATATATGTACAAACACCAAATATAGATTTTTTTTTGTTCAAGGAAGGAAAGAATTGTTTTTTGTAACACCAGATTTCGGAAAAATCATATCCCTGATTCAGGTATAACCCGACCCATGTGATCAACTGTATTGTTTAGTGGTTCCAGTCTGTGATTGGTTTATTTCTTATTAAGAAATCTGTCACTCTCCAAATAGTATTTGTCCAGTTTCTACTCAGGCAAAACCTGTAAACAAGGGCATAATATTGTCCGGGAACTATTTGTAGATATGTATACTCAAACACTACACTGATTAGCGTTTCCTTTTTGCAAACCCACAGTTTAGACAGGTCATCATCAGGAAGTGAGACATGTATTAGACAGTTTGTCATTTTTGTTATGCTCCTTCCAGCTGGTTGTGTTTCGTCTGACCCCCTCTGCTCTCTTACTCACTGTGTTAAATGTCACGAGGAAGGGTGATTTGGGGTTTGGGGAGACTGTCCTGATACTGAAAGGTCAGATATTTGGCACCAGTCATCATGTTTGAAGGGTCTTTGAGCAAGATGCTGGAGCTCCATGCTGCACTTAGTGGACTAGATGGATGTGTGACTCTCATTGAGATCTATCAAAATAATGAAAATGCACTGAGAGGGGAGTGCTCTAAAAAAATCGGTTAGCCAACCACTTGTTCGGGGTCTGAGGGCGGATACGGTATATTACCATAATTAAACATTTTGCCGATTTGAGAGCAGTTTGCTTGTGGTTTATAGTCATTCAACTCTATCATAATCACCCTGCTTTACAATTACAACCACAGACGTGGTACTCAATCAGGAGAGTAAAAGTATTGAGGCTGAGCTTATGCTAAATATGGGAAAGGGTTCTTCTACATTTTGTTTTGTGTGACCAACATGAAAAAGTTAAAGCATACATAAACTTATTGATTGACAAATATTCAAGTTTATTGATTAATTACTGAAAGAAGTCGGCATGATACCTTTTTATCAGCATGAAATGCTTCAAATAATATTTGAAACCAATCTCCATGAGAGATAGAGGATACATAGTACATCATGTCAGTGAGTTAACACGGCGTGGTGAGATGAGTTACAGCTAGTATTTTATTTTTAATGAACTGAAGGAGAAACGTGCTATTTGGGCGCCTACTTCCTCCAAAATCAGGATCAGAGACGGGACAAGATGGCTGTAATTAAAGTACACAAGGAGATGAGAGGGACCTTTTAATGGGCCCAGAGAAGAGAAGGGTCTCTGAGACGAAAAGTTTTATTCCCATGTCTGCATCAAAGCTTTGGCATTATAAACTCAAATTAGAGTGTCAGAAGGATTCACTAGTCATCACTGCTCCGAAATTCAGCAAAATCTGCTCTTGTCAAGTATTGTATAACGCTAAGAAGCAAGGGAGGAGCAATATCTTGCAAGGGAAAAAGACGGATTAAAAATGGCATCATAATCCAATCTACAGCCTCATTTCCAGATCCAAAGCTGAACAGCCTTGTTCGATTATGAACAAGCATCTAGTAAGCAGATGTGGTCAGTTAACCACAGTGACAACTTCAACTGGGGAAAAAAAGGACACAAGCCTTCCTTTTAAAATGACTCATTCAGTTGGAGTCTTTTAAATAAGGACGATTATTACTGTCCTTAAGCACATGCTGACCATGAAATATCTGTGAGGGTTTGAAAGGACTTGAACAATACATATGATTGATTGGTGTTGGGCTTACTGCCGCCTCTGCTATGCTCCTCACTGGATGCTTTCTTGTCACTGTCATCAAAATGTGACTTTAAAAGCTGCTGTACCATAAACTGTGCTGAGACCTATCGAAGCTGCATGCCCGTGGTCGTAAATAGAGATTAATAAAAGTCATACAGTGTTTATTGTCCCTTTTTGAAGAATATGTCAGTGCTTGATTGACAAATTGATACTCTTCTCACACAATGGATCCTCTATCTGCATGAGGAAAACCAGGGGATTTTTTTCCTACCTGTAAAGAGCCTTTTGAGTGGATTCTATCAATGCAGCAGCATTGTGCAGAGTTCTAGACGAGTGATGCGATGCAATATTAGAATGCATCCCTCTGATCATCAAGTGCCTTTTAATTATCTTGTGATTCAGAACCCGGAGGACACATCTGTTGGAAAGTCTTTCACATTTCCCTGGGGAGATCGAAAAGAAGGTGTCGCACATTAGAACTTTTTTTTTGCACTGAAGGCTATATTAATCCCCTATTTTTCCCTTAGAAACGCGTTGCCAACCCTATCAGAGAGGGGGGGGGGGTCAGCTGTCCTGCAGTTTCTGTCAATCAGTTAAATCCCTTTGCAACAGTCAGGTGAATCCTTCCATCCCCTCTGTAAAGTCCACTTTTTCAACAGCATTTTATTCCTCCCACACATCCAGCTCTGTTTCCCAGAAGACATTTACCTAGACAGTTGCAAAAATGAATCCTCTGAAAAGACATCTTACAACTTCTGTTTTTTTTTTTTTTTGCAGAGAATACATTAAAGAAAAGTAGAGCAGATGTAGTCACCGATGTGCACATTAAGGCTGTGATATAGTTAAAGGAAAGTAACATTTAGTCAAAGTGTTGACAAATGAAAATGTGCACTGTGTTCCTGAAAGCATTTATGTTGCCAAATAATTAAACCAGTTTCTGGTAAATGTTTAATTCTCTTGCTACAATGAGTCACAGCAGTTTTTGTGTCCACCATTAGCCCAAATCGAAAAAATCTTTTTCAAACAGCTTCTCACAATAGCATAGTGGTGTTGACTTTTGCGACAGAGCTTTTATTTTCTGGGGAATCAGGGGGGGGAGAATAAATCCCATGGTTATTATTTCCTTGATGAATTTGAGATACTGCACAAATTGTACATCTTAGCTTTGTAATCCTTATCAAGTATTAGCAGCTACCAACAGCTACAGGGTGTACTGGAGTGTGCACGTGTGCATCCGTGTGTTTGTGAGCGTATGGGATCAGATTTAATAACATCATTCTCAATTTCAGTCAAGTTGAATACGGTTCATTTGAGAGTATGTTTTGCTATTGATTTGTTTGGGTCTCGTGGGGCCTCTAGCTTGCCATCGGTGGATTTATTGAAAAATAAGATGGAGAAACATACACGACTGCAGCACGGGTGATTCCCCTTCATGTAGCGGTGGCAGGAGTCATAGTGTGGGTGAGAGTTACACAAAGGTCCAGGTGAGGTGCTAGGGATGCAGTAGAGCAACGTGAAGCCTGGACATTCAGAGCTCCATTGAAATAGCTTTTGACAGTTTTTTTTTTTTTTAGTGCAGCAACTTTTAATGATGATGATTGTAAAAGCCATATGAGATGAAAACGTTTTGTAAAGATGTATCAATTGAGTC